TACACCCAAGATGCTTGGGAATTTCTTATATAACCAAAATTTCATATCCTTCAATGCATGTGCTGCCCAGTTAGGCTGCTTTCTCACATTTATGGTATCAGAGTGCTTGCTCCTGGCTTCCATGGCATATGATAGATATGCAGCCATTTGTAACCCTCTACTGTATATGGTCACAATGTCCCCTGGAATCTGCATTCAGCTTGTAGTTGTGCCTTATAGCTATAGCTTCCTCATGGCATTGATTCACACTCTTCTAACCTTTCGCCTATCCTACTGCCATTCCAATATCATCAATCACTTCTACTGTGATGACATGCCTCTTCTCAGGCTAACTTGCTCAGACACTCACTACAAGCAGATGTCTATTTTGGCCTGTGCCGGAATCACATTTATTTCTTCTGTTCTGATTGTGTCTGTATCTTACATGTTCATTATTTCTGCCATTCTGAGGATGCACTCAGCTGAAGGAAGACGTAAAGCCTTTTCCACCTGCAGCTCTCACATGATGGCTGTGAGCATATTCTATGGAACTCTAATCTTTATGTACTTGCAGCCGAGTTCTGACCACTCTCTTGATACAGATAAGATGGCCTCTGTCTTCTACACAGTGATCATCCCCATGTTGAACCCTTTGATCTACAGTCTCAGGAATAAGGATGTGAAAGATGCCCTGAAGAGAATCATGGACAATAGAAACCAGACTTCTATATTTAGAGAACTAAGGAAATGATTTTAATAAACAAATATAGACTTTTGTTCTTAGTCTTTTCTCCCCAATATTGGTAAAATGGATTTAATGTCATATACTTAACTCGTGTTCAATAGATATCTCTTCCTTATAAAACCAAGCATTTCTATATGCGCTCTCTCTCTCTTTTACGATTTTTTTCCTTTACTGAAAATAGATAATTTTTCATACAATATATTTTGATTGCAGTTTCCTCACCCTTGACTCCTCCCAAATCTTCCCCACTTTCCCTTCTATCTGGGTCAACCCCATCTCTGTGTCTCATTAAAACAAAAATAGACAACAAAGAGATAATAATGAAATATAATAAAATG